GGGGGGGGGGTGGGGGGGGGGGGGGGAACTGATGGGTTTTGGGGGTTTTAATCGGAGAAACTCAGGATCCCTAGTTATAATTTTGTTACTAACAGTTGTTTGCAGTCCTCTGTCTGTCCACACTTAAGATCCTGTCAGTTCTCCTAGTCGCATGTTGCACTGATTACTGCTGAGCCACCTTTGGAGAATTACAGGAAATGGAAGTGGCTTAAAAGTGGCTTGGTATAAGAGGTTGAGAACCACTGCTTAAAATCCACTGGCAAAACTGTAAAATTTTACATATGACATCACCTAATGAAATCTTTCAGGATGGCATGTACAAAATTGCTCATATGTTGCCCTGGGATATTATTTTAGAGGAATTCTGTCAGAATATATTTTCCTTTCCACGTGCAAAGATTGTAGTTCTGAAACTCTAAATAAAATGCATGAATTGGCTTGCTGGATCTGGAGAGAGGCTTACGTTAGGAATAAGGCACATTGGCATTGCAGTATGTTTGGACGTGCACTGCTCATGCTGTGTAGTGTAGGCATTGGTACCTGATTTGCGTTTCCTCATTTTAGGGAGAAACTGTATATATTCCCTGTAAGGAGCAATAGCATTTCTAATGACTTAAGTCACTGAGAGTCATACTGAAACTCCATTGGTATTTTCTCCTTAAAACTGATTTAGATTTGTTGGAGATGTGCTGTGCAAAGATTTAAACATGCATTTTCCTGTGATCAGCTCTTATTGAAATGATCACGCTTCACTAAATCCAGATCATTTTTTTTTTCCCCAGAAGGGGCTTTTATCTGCCCCATTTACTACCTCAGCTTTTGCCTCGTGAGCACCCTGTGTTAATTTGCATTTCTTTCATTGCTGCCTTTCCTAAATCCCTGCTTCTGTGGCAGTTCCCTACTTCAGCACTTGCTCGTGTCACACTAGTGTCAGCTGCTCCGACCGTGCTGCCATCTGTGCCCCTAGCAAACTGATCCTGTCCGGCCTCCGCCTTCCTCACCGGGGAGAGGATGAAGCAGTGGCTGTGGGCCGGGGGAGGGGGGCTCGCGTTTCCAGGACCCGGCTGCCGTGGGGCGGGAGCTGTGGAGGCCCGAAGCCCTCCCCCGCGCACGCGTCGAGACGGCGGCACT